GAATAGTTGCTCTTCTATCATATCATGACAGCAATGTCTAATAGATTTGCTACTTCATCAACAGAGGCTAACAGCATGTGGGAATAAGGGAATATTTAGCAAAGTTAAATATGAAAACATTGAGTGTGGTAAATGCAACATACTCCATTCAACATAATGAGTAATAATAGGAAGACAAAGGCTGATATTTGTATGAAATGTAGATCATTCACGTTATAGTACATGAGTTACTATATAAATGTAAGTTTATGTTTGTCTAATAACAACAACATAAGAATAACAACATATATACAAAGTAGTTTTCTCTTATAAATTCAATCTTTCTTCTTTAGAAATTTTATTGTTCTACCTACATTTCATATTCAACTTTAGTGAGGGTGATATTTCATATCATTATTAGAAGCTATAAATTCCGCTGTGACTCTAACAATTGGCATCAGAGCCTATAATGGCTTCTACTAGTGGAACCGTCAAGGTTGGGAATATGAGATAGAGAAGTTCAATGGAAAAAATGATTTTTCTTATTGGAGGATGCAGATGAAAAATCTGCTTATATCACAAAAGTTGCATAAGGCGTTAGTGAGGAAAGAACAAAAACCGGAGAGTATGAAGGATGAGGATTGGGAGGAGTTAGATCTTGAAGCACGGGCGACCATAATCTTATGCCTTGAGAGGGATGTTGCATTCTTGGTTAATGAAGAAGCAACGGCTATTGGCGTGTGGTCAAAGTTAGAGAGTAATTTCATGACGAAAACTCTAACAAATCGGATCTACTTAAAGTCCAAATTGTATACTTGCAAGATGGAGGAAGGCACCTCAATCCGGGAGTATGTCAACAAGTTTGATAGGATTATATCAGACTTGAAGGATGTAGAAGTGAAGATTGATGAAGAAGACCAAGCATTATTATTACTGCTTTCATTACCAGAGTCCTATGAAAATCTAGTCCAAACATTGATGCTTGTCGGTGATACTCTAACCATGGATGAAACTAGAACATCACTTTTGACAGATGATCTTCGTAAGGTTGCTATAAGTGGGATGTCTAGTAGCAGTGGAAGAGAACAAGCTCAGGGATTATTTGTTACTAGAGGGAGGACAAATGAAAGAGGACAAGGCAGGGGAAGGAAGTCTAGATCAAAATCTAGAGCTCCTGTGGATAAAGTGTGCTTTAAATGTGGTGAGCTTAGGCACTTTAAAGCAAATTGTCCAAATAAGAGGGTATTATTTAAGAAGTACACCAATAATGAAAACTACTCCAGAGGTAAACAAGATCTGCAGGAGGCGAGTTATGTCTCTAATGGCGAGGATGGTTGCTTCTCAGTTTCAGACCAAGACCATGATATCTCCGGGAGATGGATGCTTGATTCAGGAGCTTCACACCATATGTGCCCAAATAGGAAGTGGTTTACTACCTACCAAAGCACAGATGGTGGTACAGTTTTAATGGGAAATAACCATGCCTGTAAAATTATGGGGTATGGTACAATACGAATCAAGATGCATGATGGAGTGGTAAGGACTCTGATGAACGTGAGACATGTCCCTAATTTGCGGAAAAACCTTATTTCTCTTGGTGTATTAGAGGAAAATCGTTGCAAAATAATCTTGGAAAATGGAGGCTTAAAGGTTGTTCGTGGTTCTTTGGTTGTGATGAAAGGGGTTCGTCACAGGAATCTGTATCCTCTTATTGGGGAAACTGTCACAGGTGATTTGGCAGTTGGAATCAGTGGAAGTAAAGATCAAACTGAATGTACCAAGATGTGGCATATGCGCCTTGGGCATATGTCTGAAAAAGGGTCTATCACTGCTTGGTGAGAAAGGTTTGCTGAAGAATATGGAAAAGCCATGCATGGAATTTTGTGAACATTGTGTGTATGGCAAAGCACATAGGTTGCAGTTTTCTACAAGCAAGCATAAAAGCAGGGGAATGTTAGACTACGTGCATAGTTTGGGGTCCGGCTCCGGTTACTTCTAAGGGTGGTTCCAGGTACTTTGTTACATACGTTGATGATCATTCGAGGTATGCTTGGATTTATTTCCTTAAGCATAAGAATGAGGTATTTGATACTTTCAATTGTTGGAAAGCAATGGTTGAGAACAGAACGGGTAGAAAGCTGAAAACTCTGCGATCAGATAATGGTACAGAGTATACGGATGGAGCTTTCAAGAGGTTCTGTGATCAGGAAGGCATTGTTAGACACTGGACGGTAAGAGGCACACCGCAACAGAATGGAGTTGTGGAAAGACTGAATCGTACACTTCTTGAGAAAGCAAGGTGTATGCGCTCTAATTATGGGTTAGGTTGAGAATGATGGGCAGAGTCGGTAGCTACAGCTTGTTATGTTGTAAACAGATCCCCACATTCTAGTTTAGGTGGAGACACACCCTATAGGGTGTGGTCAGGTGAGCATGCTGATTATGAAAGACTAAAAATATTCGGATGCACGGCTTATTATCACGTCAAGGAAAACAAACTTGATAATAGAGCCAAGAAAGCTATCTTTCTAGGATATGCAACAGGGGTCAAAAGCTACCGCCTTTGGAGTGTAGAAGTTCTAAGTTTGTGATTAGTAGGGATGTTACCTTTGATGAAAAATCTATGGTGCCTAGAGATGGTGATGTGACGATCTCAAATAAGCAAGTTATTGAGATAGAATTTGAAGCCCAACCAGATTCTAGTTGTGGTCAGGTGGAGAATCCTATTGCCGGTGAAGACGAGGAAGAGGATGAATGTGATCATGAGGAGGTTCAGCAAGAAAATACACACGTGTTACAACAGCAGCAGCAAGAATCGTTGGATGCCACTAGGCCAAAGAGAAATTATAAACTAGTTCAGAAGTTTGGGTCAGATAAACCTCTGAGGCATTATGGGTAGGTTAACTTGGTGGAATATGCACTCTCAGTCGAAGATGATGAGCCAGTCACCTTCAAGCAAGCTATCAAAGACAAATATAGAGAGAGTTGGTTGGTTGCTATGGAGGAAGAGATGCAATCTCTTCACAAGAACAAGACATGGGAGGTGGTCTCATTGCCGGTAGGAAAGTCTGTTATCGGTTGTAAGTGGGTGTATAAAAGAAAAGAAGATCATACTAAGTCGTGCGGTACAAGATATTAGGCTAGACTAGTGGTCAAGGGGTTTGCACAAAAGGAAGGAGTTGATTACAATGAGATATTTTCTCCAGTGGTGAAACATACTTCTATCCGGGTGCTATTAAGTTTAGTAGCTCGTGGTAATCTTGAGCTGTTTAGTAGCTCGTGGTGATCTTGAGCTGGAACAACTAGACGTGAAGACAACCTTCTTGCATGGAGACTTAAATGAGGAGATATATATGTATCAACCTGAGGGATACAAGGTTGAGGGTAAAGAGGGTCAGGTATGTCGCTTGAGGAAATCACTTTATGGGTTGAAATGATCCCCTAGACAGTGATACAAGCGATTTGATTCTTTTATGATAAAACAAGGTTACTCTAGAAGTAGTAATGACATTTGTGTCTATATTCAGAAGCTTCATGGAGGTGATTATATCTATCTATTATTGTATGTCGATGACATGCTTATTGCTTCAAAAAGCAAGGTGGAGATAGATAAGTTGAAGTATAAATTTGGTAAAGAGTTTGAGACGAAGAACTTGGGTGCTGCAAATAAAATACTGGGTATGGAGATTAGAAGAGGGCGGACAAACCGGAAACTGTTCTTGAGTCAAAAAGGCTATTTAGAGCGGGTTGTTGAAAGGTTTGGAATGAAAGGTGCTAAGTCGGTGGTTACTCCATTAGCTCCACATTTTAGGCTTTCTGGTAATCAATTTCCCACTACAGCAGAAGATATGACAGTTTGATGTACGCTATGGTGTGTACACGTCCAGATATTTCACAAGCGGTAAGTGTTGTCAATAGGTTCATGGCAAATCCGGAAAAGGCACACTGGGAAGCAGTGAAGTGGATTTTGAGGTACTTAAAGGGTATCATTAACACTGGTTTGTGTTTTGGTGAAGATACATGTCAAATGGTGAAGATACATGTCAAATAAGCGGGTTCGTTGATTCAAATTATGCTGGTGATCTAGATAGACGGCGATCTACTACTGGTTATGTGTTCAAAATACACGGTGCTCTAGTTAGCTGAGGGGTCTTCTAGGTGATTTGGGTGTTAAGCAAGAACGCGTGAGACTGATGTGTGATAGTCAAAGTGCAATTCATTTGGCTAAGAATCAGGTTCATCATGCCCGGACCAAGCATATTGATGTAAGATATCATTTTGTACGGGATGTCGTAGAGGAAGGTCGTATTTCTCTTACGAAGGTACATACTGATGATAACCCATCTGACATGTTAACCAAGATTGTGTTCGGTAGCAAGTTTCAACATTGCTTGAACTTGTTAAACATTACTCCATGTTCGTCCAAAATTTAAATGTTTCAAATGATGAACGAGGTGGAGAATTGTGGGAATAAGGGAATATTTAGCAAAGCTAAATATGAAAACATTGAGTGTGGTAAATGCAACATACTCCATTCAACATAATGAGTAATAATAGGAAGACAAAGGCTGACATTTGTATGAAATGTAGATCATTCACGTTATAGTACATGAGTTACTATATAAATGTAAGCTTATGTTTGTCTAATAACAACAACATAAGAATAACAACATATATACAAAATAGTTTTCTCTTATAAATTCAATCTTTCTTCTTTAGATATTTTATTGTTCTAGCTACATTTCATATTCAACTTTAGTGAGGGTGATATTTCATATCATTATTAGAAGGTATAAATTCCGCTGTGACTCTAACACAACATCAATAAGCTAAAGCAATATTTATTTGACAGACAACATTTATGACTATAACTTCAAGGGCAACACAAAAAATGAACTAACTAAAGAACGATAATACTCTGTTTACAAGAGCAATGGCACAACATATCTTCCGCTCACACAATCTCTGCAGTAAATTATAAATATTATTGTAGGTGAAACAAAATAATACAGCCAAAGTCTTCAAACAGCAACTTGTCCAAAGAGCTCCTTGCGAATCTGAAACAAGAAACAAATAACAAACTTTCAATAAACCTGTATATTGTATCAGTACACATCTAAGTTATTTAATGATTATTTTCTCAAGACAAAATTAATCAGAAATTACTAATTATTTGTGGGTTTATCCAAGTATTTGACAAATGTAAATTTTGAATGAATTAGATTTTGAACGAACTAATTTATGTCTGGCTTTTTACTCTAAAAGCAAACTGATGTGAAACTATGTAAATTTTCAACCTAGTGTAAAAACTACTTTTTATGACTTCTAATCTTCATTTTTTAGTGTGAACATTTTATGACTTCTAATCAAATAGCCAAATAGTTCTTTTACTAAAAATCACATTTTAAGGGACGCAGAATCATTTTTGACGCCCTCTATTGTGAACCCAAACACGCTATAAATAAATACCAGGTATTGGCATTTGTGTAGGAGTACATGCACTTTAAATATTTTCAGAATCAAGACAACACTAAAATTTAGTCGTGTTGTACACAGTTAACATCCATGTCTTTTTCCCAAATTCTCAAACCACTTGCATGATGCATTCTACACATGCAGCTATTAAAAAATGTTGAGATAAAACTCACTGATACAGACAATAAAGAAGCAAAAATCTTAATACAAATGATACCACCCTACAAAGAACAAGACGATCTATATGAGAAATGCTAATGAGCAAAAAACCTATTTTATAGCGAAAAACTTACCGCTGGGAGTTTGTTACGGAACAATACATCCAAACGTGCATCAAGTGTATTTTCAAACACAATCTTTCCATCATGAGAAGCCAATACCACACCTCCAGAGCTGAAGAATAACAAATAATACAATATCAAGAAACATCCTTAATCAGCTATAGAAACAGTAAAACCTAGTTAGGCTTAAGATTAATATCACAACTAATAATGGAAAACAAGTTAGAGCGGTGAGAACCAGATGCAAGCCCTTGACCAACAGAGCTAGACACTTCCATAACAATTCCCCACCCAGAAATCCCGCATAATGAATAGTTTTAATCATGGACGATTCAGGTTTTAATTTTAACTGCAATATTACCAGTGGAGATCATGGGGATTGTGATGGCTGGGGGCAGGTGGAAGATAAACATCCTTATCAATAACAACCTCTGGTACATGAACATTTGCTTTTTCAGCATACTCTTGAGCAGCTGACTCCAAGACATCCTCTACCAAAGGAAGGTCCACTTCCCGACACCTCAATAGAACAGAAGGTTCTTTCAGCCTCAGCAAACTCTGTAAAATACAATCCTTATATTTAATTCCAAGTTTACATACACAAAGTAAGTAGTATATGAAATAGCATAAGATTTGTTATGTTTCTTAGATGGGAAGGGGGAATGTGTGAACTGTGGCCTATGGGGGTGGGGTGGGGGGCTGTCAGATGCAACCTAAAATCATATTTCAAGACTTAAGAAGGACTTGTAAGACCAGTAAAAAAGGGAAGAGAAACAGGATGGTAGGAACAGAACCCATGACATTTAACACATCAGATTAGGACTGTGCTAGGTTCTATGTTTGAAGCACTGCCATTGTTTCATCTGTGTCAGCAGATAATTGCAAGAGCTTGTCTTCAAACACATATAAAGTATACGTACAGTAACACCATAGATACAACAGAATTAAGAGAACTCTTCATTACATATTCTTATAAATACATATTCTTATAAAATTATAGGTTCCTATTGAAAATATACTTGGAAAAATCAGGGGTACAACTACAAGGTGCAATATAAAATTTTAACCAACCTGAATAATGAGTTCTTTTAAGAGGTTTCCGTACACTTCGGGATCACCACTCACATTCAAGAGTTCCTTGGCTGCAGCCTCTTTCATTTTATTAACCACATCATCTTGAGCTTGAAGAACTTTTAACCGTGAAGCATTCAACTGCATAGAGTACTCACTGCAACAAACAAATGTGTGCGCAATTTAAATCATCTCGACTGTCACCACTTTTCAAGTTAGAAAAACAAATACAAAACATTTGAATAATAAAAAAAGAAAAACTAAACCTCAACAAAATTAAACTCTAAACCTCGCATACTTATAAGAAAGGAATATGCGACACAAACCAATATTTACTGAACAGAAAAACATACCAATATTTCGGAAATTAGAAAAACAATCTGGTGCATTGTGCATTATATGAATAGTACTGTGCGATCTACTAAGCCTTGACAATGGTCTATGAGTATAGATCACAGTCATTATAATGTGTCACTAGCATACATAAGGATCGAAAACCATATGAAAATCTTCTGGATTTAATAAATTTGAGAATTACAGTGAGAATTCATTACCATAAACCACTTAAATATGTAAATTCGCATACGTACATAACAACTGATAAATAGACATATGAATTATATGAATTTAGAGATGCAAAAGTAAAATCAAGTACAAAGCAGAGTACGTTACATTTTCTTCCGAACATCGACTTGCTTCTCTTTGCGTTCGTACTCTTGACGGATCTTCTTCTTATCAGCCTCAACCAACTGCAACTTCTCGATGTTGAATTCCTACAACAAAACAGTGTAACCGAACTGAGTAATCAATTTCAAATCGATTCAATCAAGAATGTGCAAAACACGGATCAATAGGTGAAAAATTAACAGTAAAACAGTGGTGGTGGAATGATGAAATTAAGACATGGATAGGAATAGTGAAGTGATGTGTACTTCTTCGGCGGAAACAGAGATCTCGTTGGCTTTCTCCTCGGCTTCTTGGCGGATAAACCTCACCATCTGCTGGATTTGCTTGGAGACATCTGCGTCGTTCATGTTGACGGAGACTGTGGAATCGAATCGGAGAAGATCGAGAGGGAAAAGGGAAACTGCTTTGGAGGTTTTACTAGAGCTTCGTCGATCGTGCTTTGTTTTGTTTGTGGATGAGAATTCGGCTTTTTTTCTTAGATAGTTATAACAGCCTGCATTATTTTTATTTTTTTAGGTGGTTAAAATAAAAGCTTGTAACCTACTTTATTTTATGTTGTTACAGACTTGAAGATCCAATTAAATCTTCAAAAGCCTACAACAATATAATAAAGCTGTTAACATACGTAAAAGCCGATTATTTTACATAGATTAACAAATTGAACGAGACTATAAGTTTTTTTTTATATTGTTTTATTTTAATTTATATATTAGTATAAATTTTGTGATCTTATTTAATTAAGATGATTTATGAAAATAACTTATAACATTGTTTATAAAGTGTTTTATCTTATTTTCATAAATTCTCTAACATAATTAATTTTTATTTATATATTTTAATTTAAAGTACAAAATATAACGTAATAATAATAAAAAAATTATTATATTTATTTAAATAGGTCGACCTATTAGAATTAAAAAAAAATTTTATAACATGAGGCCTAACATTTTTAATTAAATAGACTTATAAAAAAATCTATTTATTTTCTATTTAAAAAAATAAATTTGGCCTAACCTGAATCTGTGTAAGTCAGACTTGTAGATCTCAGTATTGTTATTAATATTATAAATTATTTTTAGGTTGACAATTATATATTCCGTTAAGTCATATTAAAATTTTTAAGTATCTTCATTAAACTTAAAAATATTTTTAAATTTATAGTTTAAATATGTTTTTGTTTAAAATTCAATCTTGGATGATTTAACTATTTAAAATTTTACTGTACATTAATTATTCTAATGTATTTTACCATTAGATTAGATCAAACTTTGAGTTTTTTAGTACCTTCTTTTCTATTGATGAATCTTGTTTTTTTGAATTAATGATTATTCTGGTATTTTCTTTTTAATATATGGTTATTATAAAAAAAAAATTCACCTATATTTTACTTTTATGTTTCCGTTAGTTTTTGTGATTAGAATTATATTTAAGAAATTGATTTAATTAATAGTACACAAATGTTTATATCTATTTTATATTTAACAATATATATATATTCACTAGCGTCCAGACGGGCATTCGCATGTCCGTCTGTCCGCTTTTTTAATGAACATAAAAAGATATACGGTATTTTTTGTTGAAATAAATATTTTTAAAAATACAATATGTGAAATATATATATATATATATATATATATATATATATATATATATATATATATATATATATATATATATATATATATATATATATATATATATGTGTGTGTGTGTGTGTGTGTGTTTGTTTTTTTTTTGCATGCGGTTTGTTCTAATTCACGATTAAATAAAAGTTGTTCTTTAGAAATCTTACCTCGCATATACATATATCTACAAACTAGCTAATACTTGTTGTAGGTTATTGACTATAAACAAAATATGCATAAATATGAACAAATATAACACAAAATACTTAAAATGATAAAAGTTATCGCAATGCCTTTAAAAATGAGTGTTAGACCCCAACAACGACGCCATTTTATTGTCAAGACAAAAGTGCAAGTATGTTATCATCTCCACAAGGACCGATTATGTTTTAAAGATTGTTAATAGTTTCTATAATTTTAAGAATAATTAATCAAATGTTATTTGTTTGTGAATATTGAAAGTATGGAAAGTAAAATACCATAAAGTAAAACAAACTTTGGTGTTTAACAATAGCGAAAACTTGTTGGAGTTAGATTTAATTGACCTATTTTTATGTGATATCATTGATCAGTAATATGCAATTCTAATTATTTATTAATATTACTGCTCATTGCTCTCATCGCAACTCATGTATGAGTCAAAGACATGAGATTAATCGTATTTAATAGACGATCTCCCAACCTATTAACCAATTTTATAATATTAAGTTTCAACAATTCATAAGGATATTGAACCTAAATCTATCTTTAATTTTTAGTAAATCCAACATATGAAAAGCTTAGATACAATAATGACCAATTCCTTTCGCATATCAAGTTACACCATGAAAATAAGTTTTAAGTAGCTAATCCAAATAAAGCATTAAGAACGAATAACTTATCAATATTAAAGCTTAAGAAGAATTACATTGAACATCTAGATTATGATCAATACACGAGCATTAGGACGACTACATCTAATCCATAACAAAAGAGAAATTAGTCACAGTTACTCATCATAGCTTTACAATTAGGCCTTAAAAGAAAGATTTAAAAAAGCAGTTGTTGTCAATTCCCCCAAACAACACTTTCGCCTTCAATCTTTCTCTCTTTTCCTCTCATGTTGAGTTCTAGTTTACAATTGGTTCTTCTCATTGTCTACCAAAAAAACTACATAATTAGACCAATTTATTTCCAACTGAATTGCCTGAACCCCTATTTACAGGGTGTTGGTATGTTATTCTTGCTCAGCGAGGCTTATAGATTGCTTAGTGCGCCTACTTTCTTCATCCTTAAATCATGTCTATTCATCTTGCAAGTGATATTTCCCACATTTTCTCGCTTAGCACACCTTTAAGCCCACTTAGGAAGTAAACTTTTTCTTTGCCATGAAGTAGCTTAACCTTTAAGTCGTTGGACCTCCAAACCTCGCTTACCTCACTTGATTCTGCACCAAGTGAGCATTGTTGCTTAGCATTAAAATTACTTGACTCTCAAGCATTCTTTTGTCTCCTTTGCTCGCTTAGCGAGGCTCTGTTATTGGCTAAGTGAACATTGGTGCTTGAATGGTGTTTTTTTGTATGTTTTTTATGCTTTCCCGGTCCTTTTTGTTAGTACTTAGTAAATACATTGATAAAAAGTTTATAGAGATGTTTTATAATGTTTTACTGATAAAATTAGAGAATTGGGAGAGGGTCATTGATTGCTTGCAAAATAAATTAATAAGTGTTTGTGTATTTTGTAACAGCCCAATTTTTATTAATTAATTTTTATGTTAATTAATTGATTAATTGAAATTATTGGATGATTATTTAAGTGATTTGGTAGATAATTGGGGAGAAGAAAATATAATGGAAAGAAAAGAAATAGAAGAGAAAGGGATATAAGAGAAAGTGGAAGGTAAAGGAAATAAGAGAAACATAAGAGAAAGAGAAAGAGAAGAGAAAGAAAGAGGAAGAGGAGAAAAGAGAAGGAAAAGAAGGAAAAGCTTGGAAAGCTCAAGAACAGCTTCTAGCTTCCGATTAATCAAGGTAAGGGTGTGAAATGTTGTTATTCTATCAAGGTATATGATAATGTATGTGTGTGTTTAGATTGTTTGGATGTTTTCCATCTTTTTCTATTTTAGGGCAAGAATGGGTTTAATCGATAGAATCGATGTTTGAACGGTTGGAAGTTGGATTAAATGGTGTAGTTTAGTCGAAGATTGTTAGGCTAAGACTATGGAAACTCGTTGGAATTGCATCGGGAGATTTTATGGTAGCAAAGAGGGGAATAGTTGGTGAAAAATACAATTTTCTGCATCATTTTTCGAAAACATACAGTGAGCAATCGATTGCACTAATACAGCAATCGATTGCACAGCAAAACAGTGGCTAAAATGTGAAAATTGAGTCAAGCAATCGATTGCACTAATACAGCAATCGATTGCATGTTGTATCAAAGCTGAAAATTGGAAATTTCTGTTCCGACGATTTTGGCCATAACTTTTAATCCGTAAGTCGATTATAGTCCCCGTTCGAAGCGTTGGAAAGCTAATGAATAAATCTATAACATAGTATATTTAATATAATTAGTTGCCAAATATTTTTATATCCAATATGTTTGGGGAGTCATTGCTTAATTAAATCTTAGCTAAAACATGGTTTAATTGAGATGATTTATTGATTAATTACTTGAGTATTAATTGATTGTACACCTTCGGTTGGTTGTTGAGATATCAATTGTTGTTTAACAAGTTGATTGTGTATTGAACATTGAATTCAATTATTGGTGATGGATTAAATGTCCTATGTGTAATCGTTGAATTATGTTGTGAATTGTGAATATATGTGCATTGCTTGGTAAATGTGATGATAATGTTGAAAGTATGAATACTTTGATTAATATGGAATATGTGTTGTGTGTGCAATCATGACATAATTCTTGTGTGATGAATTATTTGAGTATGCATGAGATTAAGATGCGAGAACGGTCTTAAGTGCATATGATTGTTTTATGAAAATATGTGTATATGCAAAAACTCGTACTCACTGGGGTAGAATAACAAGATGTTGTTCCTAGTGGAGTAATCACTGGGGTAGAATGACAAATGTTATTCCTAGTGAGGTAGAGTGGCATGGTCGTATACATTGGGGTAGAATGACTAAGATGTTGTTCCTAGTGGAATAATCATCGGGGTAGAATAACTGAGATGTTGTTCCTGGTGGGGTGCTCCCTGGGGTAGAATAACTGAGATGTTGTTCCTAGTGGAGTATACGTGATACAGTCGTACACACTGGGGTAGAATGACTATGATGTTGTTCCTAGTGTTGGTGTTCACTGGGGTAGAATGACTATGTGTCGTTCCTAGTGAAATGATCACCAGGGTAGAATGACTGAGATGTTATTCCTGGTAGGGTACAAGCAATGTATCTATAATCTCAAATGGAGATTGGTGAGAATTGATGAGTTTTATATGAGTCACGTGGCATAGATATCATGTTATATGAAAGTATGCTTGTGTGTGAATTGTTGAATTGAGAACCTTGGATATTCCATGATAAATATGCTTGGTGTTATATATATATATATATATATATATATATATATATATATATATATATATATATATATATATATATATATGTGTGTGTGTGTGTGTGTGTGTGTGTGTGTGTGTGTGTGTGTGTGTGTGTGTGTGTGTGTGTGTGTGTGTGTGTGTGTGTGTGTGTGTGTGTGTGTGTGTGTGTGTGTGTGTGTGTGTG